AATGCAGTATGCCCTTACGACATGATCATTAGCATCATTATATGAAATTTTAATTTTAATTTGAAAAATTTGATTTCTCGAATTTTTTCAATAATTTGTTGAATTAACTGCTTTTTGATTAATAATGAACATAATGGTTCGAAAAATGTGCTTGAACATGTCCCGCATCGATATTACAAAAATTGTATTACAAAAAAAATTGTTCGATCCCGGGATCAAAAATCGATCCCGATCCCGGGATTGAAAAAACGTCGGGATTTTGCAAGCCCTAATCACAATATTGTCACATCTTCTGCATCACCCTTGTGATCCAAAACGCTGGTTTCACTGTCCTCCGTTGTATGGCAGGGATGGGCGAATAGTCGAAGACGGGGGAAGCCAAGGAGAAAAATTTACAATCCGGAGTCCGGAAGATGTGTTCGGCTCGAAAAACAGGGACGGGGGGTTTCGGAGAAAAACTCAGTCTCGTTTCCATCTCCATCTGCATTCCCGACCGTGGAATGTTTAGTGAAAATGTAACGTTTGAAGTGCATTCCTTAAATTGGTGTCTCGTGTAGCTCAGCGTCGCTCATTTCGATGCAGTATATCTCTATTGATCAATGTGTATGTTAGTTCGGCCCTAACAGGTCGCCATCTTCAAAATAAAACTGTCATCAGATTTCCCCACGAATATTGGGTTTTTTCCACACCACTGGATTCCCCAGTTTCTTTGGTTTTCGATAACTCTTTGTGTTATCGGGCGATTTTACTTGGTTTTAGTGAAGCAGCTCAATTCCTAAAGTTTTCTCATATATCTAAGATATTAGATTACCGCTCATTTAAGTCAATTGCATCTGTTTCGATCAATTTGCAATTGTGTCATGAATATCATGAGTACCATCTTCAAACCAGCGCCATCCTCAAGTTTGCTCAGAAACACGATCATTTCTTCATACCATCCAGTTCTCTAGATTCTATATCTTTTGAAAAGTACATATATTGTCGAGTGAATTTTCTTTTTTTTTCAGAGGAACAACTGGCTTTCTGAAAGTATTTCACATAACCAAAATCTGGAGAATCCACTGGTGGGGAGAAACAGACATACTTCTGGGCAAACTTGACAGTATATTTTGAAAATGCTGACCCTGATAGGTTTAAGCTTCAAACAGATTCTAATTTCAATAGATACTCTATTAGCACTTGATTGGCAATAGCTAAAAGATTAACACTGATTGATATTAAGGATTAATATTAACACTTCTATTCACAATATTTACAATTGATATCTAAATGACTACATATCACCAAAAAGAAACACTTGCTGCCTTTTGAAAATGATACTTCTCAGCTTCTTTCTACCAACATCACACTCACTTGTTCAACCGATCTCAAAAACTTCATCTGAGAATGTAGCGGATGAAAATTTTTGCGTTATCGACATATTACAGCCGTTTGAGGAATAACCACCGAAATTTGAATAATTTAAAACACTGCGCTTGTTTCGAAGTTTTCAAATTTCCTTAATCAAGTGCTAATGGAGAAAATGACTTGAGTTTAGAATCTGCTTGAAGCAATTCATTGATCATTTCATATATTGTTAATCAAGATAGGTGGTTGAGCATTTTAAAGGAAGCTTTAAATTGTTAGTTACNATAATTGTCGTCTCGAGTTATGAAATAACAACAGAAACCAGTATTGCTGGGCTCTCGAACTTGTGAACATTCATGTTTTGTTTACATTGTAGTGATCAACTGACTGTGTGAATATATGTGACCTTAGCAAAGCTGGCCTTAACAAGTCATGATATTTATTACCGATGTGCAGTGAATCGCCTCGTCATCTACGGTTTTGATAGGGGAAGAAATCAATCTTGACGCAAGTAGTAAATCGGACTGGAGGATGCAAATATGTTAGATTTGCTTCACTTTCAAGACGTGGCCAGTTTCAGATGGCTGATGACTATGAATATCTTGGACCACTTCAACGTACGCCTGTGCCTCTGCGATTTCCAGCATTTGCTGCCACATCGCCGCAGGATTACCCCCCAGAGCCCCCTCCACCTCCCCCACCACCTCCTCCTTCCATATTCGCTCATTATTTTTTAAAGCCAAACACTGACGTGGACGAGCGAACATGCTTAGAATCAACACGATGTTCATGTAGGTTGATACATTCTTTTGTTCATAGCGTAACTATTTTATAGATCTTATGTAAGGATATAACTGAGTGCGCTAAGCGAATCGGTGTTAATTTCAACCGAAATAACAATAACTCTGAAACTACAAAGTTTCGTTGTGTTGTGCTCTCTAAGAATATATTCATTCGATTTGTACTGTTCATTTAAAAATTACGTGACATTTATTACCGACATGTAATAAATCGCCTCGTTATCTGCGGTATTGATAGCGGAAGGGATCAATCTTGAAGCAGGCATTAACAACAACTCTAAAACTACATACTTAAAATCATCAGTTATACCAAATCATCAGGTTTTACCAAATCACTACCAAAAAATCATCAGTTTCAGAAGATATTGCTTCCAATTAGAATTACTCAATTCATTTATCAATTCATTGCATCAAAAGATGCGATTTTATTCGTTTGACCAGAATTTGCTGCTTGGGAAAGATGAACTTTTTTTGAACGATGAATTAAATGTTCTACAATGAATGTTTTTTAGGTGATATAACTGCAAGCCCTCCGGTAGGCTGATATTGCATTTGTTATCAGTGTCTTGACTGCGGTGAAGAATCATCCCTGTTGGGGTTTTGAATCTAATCGTGAAAAGACGGAATGGAATACATATTCGCTGAATGATGCAATTCTATTCACATCACAGTGTCGCAAAGATGAAAATTCTTAACTGCTAATCAATTACGTCTTTAACGGAATCAAGTCCTTTCATAGAAATTACTATTCTTTTGAGAAATGAGAACATAACATTGTTATTTCAGCCACAATCTCCATCGACAACCACACTATCAGAAGTACAGTTAGAGCATAAAGGTTGGATACAGCACGAAAAATGCATTGGGAAAATTGATTCGATTTTGAGAGATCATGTATCTATTTCGAGCTTACGTTCGCTTTGCTCAACTCACCGCGTTCTCTCTTTCAGCCACCAGATTCAGAATGAAACAAAAACTTTGCATGGTGTGTACATTAGTGACGGCTATGGTATCTCTGCTTGTTGCATGTGGATCAGCATTTCTCATATTTCACGGTATTGAATTATGACAGAAAGAACTGAACGAAAGTAGGTTCTGATCTCTCAGTCGTTCACCCTTTGTTCCACTGAAAAAAAAATTCAACTCAGAATATTTATCAAAATTTCGAGAGAAAAGCAATACTCGAACAGGTGTGCATGCTATAAAATGAGATGATTNACTGGTTGAATACGTGGAAGTTTTGCAGTTTGCACGATTCACCAAGGCGTGGAACGCGTTTCTACGATGACAAATAGCAACAATTATTTCTTTCAATATTTCGAAACTTTTCCATCAATTAATTTTGTTTCCATATTGGCCCATCAGCCGACAACTGCAAGAAGAACTCAGCGTTCTTATAAGACAGTCTCTTTTACTTTCTTGATCGTTTTCAATAAATAAATTTTCCAAAAACGTAAATACAATTGTCTCCAATACAACGAACAATACAATTATTCGGTTTCAAACGACTTGTTATTTAACGCTGGATAAAATTTGCACTCATTGCAATAAAACAATAAAACCCACAATTACATTGCATCTAACAAAACGAACACAGAATAACAGATATTTGCGATGTAAACATCCACTAAATATAAACATCTTAGCAAACAATAACATAATCCAGATAAAAATCTTTAGAGAGTCGACAAAATGCACTGAATTTTTTGGTGCAATTTTATATTTCTCTGAATGAAATGCCTGGAAATCTCAAAACTTCTCATTTGTTGTCCCTATCGTCATTTCAAGAGCATCAAATAAGAAAATTGAGACGCCGCTATATGAGATGATTACAGTTATATGAAAATATAATCTCTAGTAGTTATATGGAAATAAAAACTCTTCTCATACAAACATCACATACAATAGAACTTCACGGACGAACAAATCATAATATGCATCGATAAATGTGTGTGTACCAAATCTATTTACATCATTAAACGTTGCATACCGGAATGTAGCTATCTTGAAAGAATCCATGTTTGGAGAATCGACTGATGCATACATACCTAAACAACAATATCACAACCAGCAATAATACAACATCAAGCTATAGTTCTCTATCTCTTTCACATACCCACCGATTACAGCATAATTCTTCATATTCATATTGCGCGAATCATTGGAAAATCCTACAGATAATTATTATGATCGGGTTAAATACTATAAAACTTAATAAGGATATCACATGCAGGAAAGATTGATATGTCATGTGTATTATGCAGAGTGATCATCAAATCGTGGTGCCACATTAACTAATTAAAGGCTTGAATCTATTTCATTTCGATCAATCAGATTCACTGAAAATGAAACGCAACAGAAAGGTAACGCCTAAAGGTAATGCATCACTACACATTTATACACAATGACAGCAACACGCAAAAATGGAAACAAACAAACAAAAATGACAATACGAAGGTTCTGGGAAGTGGCCTTATTTGGTTCGTTATTATTTTGGTTTTCTTATGCACAGATCAAAAGTTGACATATTAATTCACTCATACGAAGGTTCTCTATATACTCTTGAGAAGTTGACTAATTTGAACGAATTTCACTATCAAAATAACTACTAAAAACGAACAAACGTTAAAGGATTTCATTCATATTCATCGAACAGAATCGAAAACCTCAAAGAACATCTATTCAGCCTTCTTGGTCAGAGATGAAGTCACATCGTTTTGTCGGCCTTCTTTCGGTTTCCTTGGAAGAGTCTTCTTCAAAATTTGATAGAGAATTGGCCAAACAACCATCATCAATATATGCATATAGAAGTATATGGATAACAACGGCTGAAATACTTGATGGTGATGTCAATCGACTTCGAATATTTGGACGCTATACAGTCCTTCCAAATTAAGTTTTGAGAATAATTACAGTCATATTTAGTATGGAAAATTTTCCAACCTTCTAAATGACTGTGTTCGCGAAAAAAAATTTATTTTAATATCCACAGATTCATCCACTCATCATTTATTTGAGTGAGTAATATGTAACTCATTCGAATTTTATATCACTCAAAATGTTTTTTTTTTCTCTTGAAACTGAATCACTGATATAAGCGTAAAATCAAAAACCACAAAACTGACCTTGATCCACACTCGTGTTTTCACCAGTCCAAACGACAAAAATCCCGTACCCATAACGACTGTTATAAACACTTTACCGAAAACCATCTTGAACGGATACAACCATTTCTGTGCAAAAAACTCACTAGCACCCGGTGTATCCTTGATCAAATCATACAACTGAAACAAACGAAAATACGCAAAGCTCAAACAAAGAATTTAACTCTTCAAAGCAACTTGGTTACGTTCTAATACTCAAAAACGAGTCAAACAATTGCGTCAAATTCACCTGATGCTGTGCAACCATCGACGCGAACTCGAATCCGAATATGACGAAATATCCCAAATGATAGCCATGCCATACAGCCAAATAAGTCAGCGTTATAACATGACTCAGATAACGATTACCCAACCAGCGAAGACGTCGGTATATGTGACTGAAGCATCAACAATAAACTATTCTGAATGTTGCTAAACTGTTACTAAAATTCTGCTAACATTTTGCTAATATCGCGCAGAACAATGCAAAACAAACATTTTTCTATGCCACAATGTCCTTACTCCTATTATACGATACAAATACGATTGGACAGAAATTTGCCGTCAAGAAGGACATTGAACATCGTTCCATGGAAAAAACTGCACGCAGAAATGAGAACAAGAAACGAATAAATAAAAAGAAGAACGCACTTTTTCGCGAATGTATTCGTCCCCACATTGAAACTATCCACCACACTCTGGAAATCTGCACCAAACTCATAACGAAGCAAATGAATATCTCTTACGCCATCCCATCGATCCTGACCATTTTCGTCTTTACCATTATAGCCTAAACCACTCAATATTGCTGCTCCTTCCTGCAATTTGCAGTTCCCTTTCATTCCTTCCACATTAGAATTTCACTCGTTCGAAAACGCTTCTACACACGAATCAGTAACTAACCGTAAAAAGCCAACAACACACGTATCTGCACATCGTCAACTTGAACCATAAAACAATCCATATATTCTTCCACAGGAATGATTGATTCTGAAAAGAGGAAATAAATGAAAAGAGATCATAAATTCAACGTTATATTCCAGTCGTTTCCCGAAACACATAAATGTTCATGACTAAAATGAGAGTAAAACAGATAACGCAAACATTTCCTACGTAATCTGCTTGGATAGGAACAAAATATAACAACAGTGGAGAACACATACAAAGAATTCCCGTGTATTGAAGTATTCGCCCGGAATCCAATATGCACCCCACTGATGAATTACAGCATAAAAGCAACCAGCAATGAATCGTCCCAAACTTGGCATAAGCCTAAAATGCACACATGAATAGGAGAACGACTTATTCAGCAGCCAATTCCCGCCTCAAAATCACGAACACAAACTCATCCTTTAAAAAAAGTGTTATTGCTCAAATGCTTGTTCAAACAGTCATGCACATAGGTGATGAATCAATGAGAGTAGAAGGTTCATAGATTTGAATCTAAGAAAAGAATACAAAAAATCATGAAAACAACTCTATTCACTGATCAATTAATCTGCCTACCCAGAAGCACGAACTTCTCCATTTTCGTCCAAAAATGCACCATTAATGAGTGAACGAAATCGAGCTAATGGAAACTGTGGCCCCACAAAAGTGCCCGTGAAACAATATCCGTATGCAGCTATTTCTAGGATACCTGGCGGATCGACGATCGCCGTTTTCAGCTGATCTGGTTTCAGCTTATCCTGAAATTCAGAATGTATCTGGAAGAGACATTTCACCAGATGGCTTAAATGCAAGCATAACTGATAGTGAGTTTAATTTTACTGCGTTGAGCGGATAGCATTTTCGCTAAATTAAATTCCTCTCAATCATTCGACTACAATTCAGAAGCAAGAAGATAACTGTTGAACTTTCCATAAATTCATTAGACAATGAGAGAGTAGCTGTACAGTTCTACGATCGCCAAATCGATGAACGAACAAAATTGGAACACTGTGTACAATTCCCAAGTTACTATCTTTAGCTGTGTGGAAATGAGAATATTGAAAAAGGAGGATTATAGTATCTATGGTATCGGTAATGAGAGACAAGCATAAACTCGTAATAAGCTGTAATTGCTGATTAAATAAATGAATGAATTATCAGCGAAAGCAACAAAGATAATAAAAACAACCACAATGGGGAGAACAGTGGCTCTGATAATAAAAATCTTATTGCTGACATTAAGACTGCAATGGAGGTATCAGAGCAAATATTCCACCAAATGGAACAAATAGTGAATGTTCAAAGAAGCTGTTTACCCTCGGTTTCTGTCCATCGTAAACATCCATAACAAGACCAATAAAACGTAAAGTTGTGATACAAAACGGCGTAGTCCATGTGATATCATACTGATCTGATTCTGCGAACCAGTAACCAATCAACAGATGACCCTTCAAATAAACATTCTCAACAGTTACATCCCTTTTTTTGAATAAACCATCTCAACACTTTTACCACAGTGATAACTCTTTACAAAATTTTAAATAAATGCATCGAAAATTATTCATGTATTCCATTGAGTAACTTCAGAAGAAATGAACATAAAAACAAAAAAAAACTCACAAGAAAGATGATGTGAGCTAAAATAACGGAGTGTTTCGTACCGGCGAGGTAATTTGTCAGTAAATACGCAAGTAAAATACTCAACAGACTATGATATATTGCAAATCCTGAAAACAATTAATAACCATACCAAACAATAAATAATGACCACTTTAATAAATAAAAGAAACCACCTCGTAACTGTCACGCGTTACAAATGTACACTTATAAGACACCTGCTCTAAAAAAAAGTTTCGACTTTGACCCGTCTATCAGACATCGCTATTACTGTCTTATCAATCTGCAGCTGATTAAGAACGCTGATAAGGAGTTAGTGACAGCTAATCAACCACACATGTGATTGGCACATCGTCTTTAAGTTTAAGCTATCTTCAAAAAAGTGAACAGACATACTCAGTATGCTTGCTGATGAACAGAACAATCAGGATACTGAGAATCAACCTAATGCGCTGTACATGCATGCAGTCGCATGAAGGCTCAAGCCGATGTCACATGTTCAAAACCACGAAATTTTGGAAATAACTCATCTTGAAAATGAATCAGTTTAAACCAAACTGAATAAAGCACGTGAAGAACACCGCCCCTATCCAATCATGCATCATATCATCACATATACGTGATAAAATCCAAATGACGATACAAACAACCGAATTACAATCAAAACTGAACCATCCGACTATAAACTAACCGTAATTGAACAAATAGAATGCAACACCAACAGTCGCAAAGTATAAATGCTGAATTGTAACAGACTTATTATAGATCGTCGCTCGATAAATTGCCGATAAAGGATACCCTTAAATTTACATTCATTAAGAGATTTTCGTTGTCATTTGCGGTAATACTTTTGCGATTATTAATGTTCACTTTTCGACAATTATTCATAATGATAAAATAAAAACATTCAGTCGATTGCTCGACTTTTCAAAAACTCTTCAAAAAATATCTTCCTGTGAATCAAAAATTCTACAGCTTCAACACAGCTCTCCAATGGTTAGATCCAACCTGCTAGAATTGATATAAGTAGGCGCATACCATCCTCACGTGTATTCAATAATGCCGATAAAGCACTTACAAGATTCATTCTGAAATCAGCAAACACAATGATATAATGATTAGCATCGTAATCGTAATACTGATAACGATAAGGTAAAATAAATCACGATGAATGAAATTTTCAGGCCCATCGTACTCGCATACAACCAGACGTTAACTATTTTGAAATAACTTCTTTCAATATTTTACAACATGCACTAATCGAAATTGGATCAAGTCGAACGTTACCATACGCAACAATTTCATACCAAAATATACAACAAAAATAGAGCACAATGTACAATGAGAAGAGAACACACTGAACTGGTGTGCACTACTTACTAAAGAACAACACTTTTCCGTCCTTCACATTGTCGAAGATGTTCGATTAAAATAAACATATTTGAAAACGATAAGAAGTTGAGAGAGAAAGCATATATGCGGCAAATTTTTATTCATTGTTCGTTATTATACGTTAAGATATAAGATGCATGGAAAATCGATAAAATGTATACATTGAGAATTAAAAATGAGATGAATTTTCATGCGTGGAAAAAAATCCTTCACGATGATACAAACCATCCTCAACACATTCAAGAGGTGAACCATCCGTAAAACACTAAACAACAACTCGAACTCTAACTGAGAGAGTCAACAAAGAATGTCAAGCAAAGGCAAGCCTCTCAACTGGTGATGTAGAATCAGAATAGAATATCTTCAAACGAAAAATGCCGGATTAACATTCTCTCCTGAAAGCACTTAAGCTCACTTTCCGGAAATATGTTTAGTCAAATGCGAGCAATTGCCAAAAGCCTTGCGCTGATATAGAATTGCCAAATCCGAATTAATATGTAAAACAGTTGAGTTTGTTGGGTCACATGAATAGGAGGAAAACGAAAGCAGCCAAATCCTCAAACGTAAAACGAAAGCAGCCAAATAATGTAACGTGTGATCTAACTAACAGATGCGAGTTAGTTAAGTCATATGACACGTTATTCAAACCACGCAACGTAGTGTTCGATTTAGTAAACACTGCTTTTCGTATACCCATCGAACGCATACAAACTGGCTAAGAGTAACACATGGCGATTCCAAATCTGCAGTTAGTCATAATCTGTTGTTCGTAAAACAATTCAAATTCAGGATACAGGATAAAGCATGAGGTTATTTCCTCCGTCAGAAATGCATTTCATCTAAAATACCTATCTGACTTTAATACGAGGAGAAGCGTATTCTCAGGAGAAGCGAACCAGTCAGTCTAAATGACTTTCCTGTAGTCGTTGACCGATCTGCCACCCAGCCTCATTGTCAGCTGTTTGAACGCATGCAATAGTCTCTAAATTTTTCACTAGCAAAAATAACTGGCGAAATTCTGAGCGAAAGATACGATGTCAAAAAGATGATAGGTCTCACAGGTTTACAAGTAAAGCATCGGAACGTTAAAAAACACCATTTAGAAAGAAAAGCCCAATTGATTTTCTCCGAAGTGAAGACGATATACAACGACTGAACACCATGAATAATTATGAGTGTTTGTGACTGATTAACAAGAAAATGATGAGCATTTATTGAAAAGCGATAAACACGACTCCAAAGTCAGTGAAACAAAGAATTTTGGGAAATTTCCTTCTGTTCTTGAAAGATATTACCAATCATTGTGGTAAAACTTTTGCAACGTCTGATCCTAACATATTACCAACCTGTGGAGGTGGGCAATAGCTAAGTGACTAGTTCGCTATTTCGCTAATAAGCAAAGTAGCAAAATGGCACGTAATTGCCCACGTGCATACGTGTATATCGGTGTGAATTAACAATTTTTTTTTTGCTTTTGAAGCAGCAGTCAAATTCATTATTTTTATGAGCAATCGACCTTCGGACTTGCTCAGTTCGTTTCATAAACAAAATGATCCCTTATCGCGTCACGTTCCGTTCTCGCTAGACAATAAAAATTACTTCGACTGGTCAAAGTTACGATGTTCTAACAAAACTTTTGAGAAATTTGATTGCAATGTCAACTTCGCTAAATCAAATGTAATATTAATAGAGGTGCACTCGCCGAGGGAATGGTCCAAATGCCGAACTTTATAGTGGACCAACGATGATCGTAGCTGTGCTCAAAGGTTCCTGAAGAAAAATTTGTAATTGCTCCTAGAGAAAGGACAAATTCGGACGTGAATTCAATAAGGGATTTTGGCTCTGGAACAACTCCCTCCCCTAGCCCTTGTGTACGCCACTGTACTGATTCTTCCCCGAAGAGAAGAGCGGTTGACATGCGTCCTTGATCAGGACGGAAGATACCGAAATAAGATGTACTAATTCAAATGAAACTAATTATTAGTGATAGCATTTGATCGATCGGTCGGAAAAAATCTGAAAAATTTCGTTTGGAATTGCGACATTCGGATTCCTACCGAATAATTTTAAAGTTCGCTCAAAATTTCCAATGTTGTAATCTTGAAAAGCCGATCCGGTTGAATTCCAACCGAATTGAAATTTCGTTCCAGAGCCATCACTAAAATTGCTGCACTCGCACGATTTTATTGTCTCGTTGAAAGGCTTTTGCTACTGTTTCCACTATTTGCACATTTACAGCTATANCGTCACCAATCTATAAATAACTCCATTCGTTCACATACACAAAATCTGAAATCATCAAGAAATGAGCAAAATGAACAACAAAATCGAAAACCAAAAAATGATACAATAAAGCTTTCTGTCGTAAATTTTGATCAATCGGTAGCTAAATGCAGAACGATAAATTCCGCCTGCGTGCACCATCATGCCACAATAAAGTTTATTTGATCGAGTGAAACTTCCGTAATCATTGTGCATGATGATAGTCCAGAACAACGATGTGCAACAACGGTATGCAACGATTACAAAAAGAAGTACAACTACAACTACGAGCGTGATCAATTACAAATATGATCATGATCACGCCACCATGATACTACGATGATGACTGCATGAAATGTATAGCAAGATAACGAAAAGATGAAATCGAATGAATACGGAGAGGACTTTAACCCTGAAATGCAGTGTTTGTTGTATTATTGCGGACGGGTGTTCATAATTAATGTGCACGTTCAATAAACTGAGTCCTCTATCTCGTTGCATTTATCTGTCGCATTCATTCATGAATGAATAATGTTTTGATGCATGAAAGATTACTTGTAAGATTGTGATTTAGATGCGCTCATTGTTCCCAGCCGAACTTTGGAACCGTCAAAACGGTAAAAAAATTTTTTGGTTCCACTAATGAGTTCACTCATTGTCAGTGTATGAATTAATTTGAACGGCTAAAGTGACTAAGTGAACCAACACCTTTAAGCTATACAGGCGGCTTGAAAACGCCACTTCGTATGTTCCCATCGTGAGTAAGCAAACCAGCGGATATAACTACAGTTCAGGCAATGACTATATCCTATTTACAAGATATACATTTTCCATGCGGCAAAATGCCTAATACTACATTAAACGTTGCGCAAAATGGCAAAAAAAAAGCAATGAAATCATACACTCGTGTTGAAGATAATGTTTTTTTCATGTTTGTTTATGAGTGTACCGCATGATCAACGTAATGAGGAATGTATTAGCCATGGCAGTATTAACTATAAGAGAGCGACAATAATAGGAGCGGGATATTGCGGTGCATTACATTTGGGCTTCGGCTTAGGCTGAAGCTCTTATTGACGCTAGGGTATCTAATGAACAAACAGACAGTCCTGTTTTGCCAGAATGAGGTATCTAATGTGCAAATAGATGACTTTTTTATGCCAGTATGAAATGCTTAGTAAGCAACTGGTACCTCGACATGAACCTCAGCCTATGCCCAAACCCAAATGTAATGCATGCGATATTCAGCTCTGCCTATCGCCATTTCTATCCGTCCACATCATATAAGTTTTCATATTCACCTAGAATCTCCTCAATTCCATAGTAACAAACAATCAAGAGATTGTTATGAACTGCTGCTGAAGATCCACTGTGCATGGTTGAGGATCTAGCTTCTTTATCTGTCCGACTTTAAGAAAGGCCTGCAAAATCGTATCATTACATCTGTATCAAGCGAACAAATCCGAGCAGTTGATTGTATGTCAAAAGACTGAGTTCCGTTCTATTTGAACATTGCAACGGTGATAATCTTCGTAGTATGGCAGTTGTACATTACTGACTTGTAAGTTCTCCGATCGGTTCAATTGTTCAACTGTAAATAATTTACCTTAAATGAGTACGGAAATGTAAAGAAAGTCAAGATCAAGTTTATACAATCCAATAAGAATACAATCAAACTGAATATTGATTTCGCAAAAATGTTCAGATCTGGTGAAACACAGAATTTGTGAGTACGAAGAAACGTTCACAAATTAAAACTGAAGCGAACATATGAAATCATTTGTCAGGCGCTGTCACTGTACAAAATGCTAATTTCATAAATACGGATGAGATAATGATAACAATCGCGATAATTTTCGATAAATGCAATTTTCAACAATGAGTCAAAACGACGACGAACTCGAACAAATAGGTGAATGCATGTGATCGTCGATAGCGGTGCTCATACAAACAATGGATTCAATAAATAACGAAGATAACAGCAGAAATAGTGAAATTACAAATTTGCCTAATGAAATGATAGTGAAAGCTCAAAGAAATCATCTGTCTTTTACAGTTGAACAAGTGAATATTAAATATTGAAGAGTGAGGTGCTAAACTCATTGAAATGAATAAACAAACTTGAATATCGAAATGAATCTTCAGTTCAATGAGCATCAAATATCCAATTCAATATCCAACTCAGTATTCAAGTGAACATTCATTGATGCAATATGAATGAACTTATTTTGAAAAGATTGCTCACTTGATGCAGTATTCCTCAGAGTTTTGAAGAGCAGACAGATGCGATTCTACGCAATTTAGAAACACGATCCTTATAGCGTGAAGATGAATTTCTATTCATTCGTTCCTGACAGATTCTCTCATGCATGCACTCATATTATGATGAATAACAATACTTCATTTAATCACAATCTTGCACATGCAGTAATCAAATGTCATTTAATCACACTACGCATGTCAATGAAATGAACTCAATTCCGAGACCGATGCACTGGTCATTTCCGAAAAATCCAGTCAGAACAAGAAGTGAAGAGATCGCGTTTACATCACATTGTTAAACGTATCGATCAAAAGAACACATATTTCAGTCACAACTGATCAAGAATTTCAACAAAACACAAGAAACAAAGAATCGACATGAATTCAGCTCAAAACAACAACAGGTACAATACTTAGAATCACGGTTTTATCAAACATTTTTAATAAGTAACAAATTGTAACAACATTCGCGAATTTAATGAAGAATATTCACACTTTCAGAACAAAACGATGAACATCCCATGAAAGGACACAAGAAGTTGAACACTTTGGATATGTACGTATTTTGACAGACTTGAATGCAAACATCGGATGGTCAACATAACTATGCACTACAAAAGCACCGCGGCAGAAATTACCGGTGAGCTTTTGCCGTTGCATGTTTTTAGCGACATCCCGCAAGTATCATGCGCGATTCGCATTCAGTCCGAATGGGTCATTGATAACAGTAGCACTGTATGAATATCATTGATAGCACCGTTAGTGAAATACGATAAACATATCATGACCCATTTGTTTCCAGAGGAAACTTCCAGATTTGCACAGAGGTAGGTTCATACATCCATGATACTTACTGGTGAATCTCGGCATTGCTTTGAGTGATCTTGCTCATTGATCTGTTCATCTGTTGCGTTATTGTTACGCGTATTTTCGCAGTTATTATTATTGCCGTCACTTTTGTTGTTGATCGAGTTAATGTCATCTGAGCGCCGTCGAGTGGAATGCCTTATGATATACTCCTCAGTTGTCCACTCACATGGCTCTCCGCTACCGAACACAACGAAAATGATATTGGTAATTATCTGAAAGTCGAGAATCAATTATCATTTTATTGATGATTAGAGTTTGTGATCGATTAGATATCAGCTCTGTTATCGTTATTAATCGTATAAGATCGGTTGAGGAGGTTAATCGCAATCAATATGAGTTCCGATCATAACTACTTCTGTGAACGTCATGAAATGCCCATAATCTCCAGTATCTTCCTTCCTTTTAGGCGTAACATCGCTTAGCTTGATCATCAGATATGCTCTCTAGTTACCTTTTTGTCACTCTTAATCGCTCATTCTGCTTAGCAGTCAAAGGATAACTCGCACATTTCACAGCACGCGTATATTCAGTGCACTACTTATTATATTTTTACAGCACTGAGTGTTTTTGCTGTATTGCTGCTTGCAGCAAAACATTTTTATTGCTACAAATCACTTTATATGAACATGAAAATCCCCAAAAAACATACCATCATGACTGCAGTTGCGTTAAAGACAAAACCCCATTGTTGTGCGGTATTCTCTGGTGCAAGCAAATTCTTCACGATGGGCACGAAAAGCATTGTTATTGCGATGCCCAATGAAACATTCCCAGTAACGAAATGACTGAAATTCATGCAAATTTCAATTTCAAATTTCGTTTTGGGTGCGATTCTTTGCAAAATATTCACTTTGCAGTTGGATGTTGAAAATGGTGTTCGATGAAAATTCTGCTGAAATTATTTTTCTGAGTTATACCGTTGTCACGTTGATAAGTCTTTCTAAATCATTTATCGTCACAATGAATATCTGATGAGTTCATAACTGGCAAAAACGTCTGATGAAATCATTTATTCACCTGTACTGTTTCGAAATAAGTGGTCCGGATTTGAAGAAACCGCCTGTGGTAGCACCAAGTACGCCAACACCCAAACCCATCACCACCATACACAGAGACTGTAACAAATGCAAGCTGATGAGCCAGAATGTTTTCACGACGAGCTCAAACTTCTACGAATGAAATGTGCGCTGGTTCTTTATCGCAACAGCCGAACCTCAGTTGTTACAAAAATCAAATATTTTTTCCATTCGTGAATAGCCGTGATTCGATACTGGGTTTTAAAGATTCGAATCGTGATATTGATAAAGAATCATTCCTTTGTAGTGCATCAGACAATAAATGGAATGGTAAACAAACTGACCCTATACTCAACGCTAATCACTGACAAGAGTGAGAGCAGAGCAGCTGAACCGAAGAAAGCGACCGAGTTGAACATTCGCAATTTATTGGTTTCTGACAGACATCTCACTTTATCTGAGATTATACCTGGAACAAATTTTTAATACGACCGATTGCTAGTGGATTTAACTTGAAGGTGGTATGGAGTGAACCGGATGAAAGGGCGGCGAATCGTATGGAGCATACTGAGAATCTCACGGATTCAGAATTCGGCTGACAGACTCAAATTATATTGTAAAATGCAATAAGGTCAGATCAAAAACATTTGCTTATCGGTAGTCTTCATTCGGGATGAATTTGAGGGAGTAAATGGAGGGAGGAATTGAGAAGTAAGACAAATCATTTTTGGTTGATTTTTTCCTCATAATTTTTGCGCACTTATCGGGTGATGTTTTCAAAATGTTTGTTTGATCGTAAAAAAATGATTTCATTGATGAAACTGACGAATTCTTCACAGCAAACCTTTTGATCAATGGATTAATTTTCTGGTTTTCTGATGAGAATTTTGATTTCTTATCCAGATTGATAATTTTAACTTCTTGTGAGCAAAGTTTTGATAATTTTTCGTGAGAATCGGTGAGAATAAATTTTTTATCAATTGTCGCTATGAAGTAAGAATTTATTACAGGATAGAGGATGGGACGACAGGGGAGAAGGAACTATGATGATAATATCAATGCAATAGTCAAATAATGTCGCATGAGAATAAAAATGACAATTTCTCACCAATTGAAAGTTTCACACAGAACTGTACGAGCGGTGCGAATGCTGCACCCAGACCAGTTGATCGTACCTCGAAACCCAACACCTTGTTGATGTAGATTGGTGAGAACAGGAATAGCATGTTGACGCAGAAGAAGTTCCCAATTGCTGCTACCCATACGGCCCATACGGCTGGCGTTTTCAGGATTGCCGCATAGGGAATATTCCTCAAATCCGCCTTACTGAAACGTGAAATCCATTGAAATTTACGATCTTTCAGACATCTTACGTCACAATGTCTTAAGTCTTTCAACAATACAGTGTCTTAATTCTCTCTAAAAACAATGAGATCCGTATCCTCTTCAAGAGACCAACCTCAAAAAGTGAAAACTTTGTTAAAATGGGGGAGATGAGTTTGATATTGGCTCTCTTAACGATTGAAAGCTTACTGTCATTGTGATCAGTTGATTAAATGCATACAAGTTTTTCTGTCGTTAATCAAGTAACAAATCGTTCCTGATAAGTATCAATAACCACGCATGTGAACGAAACAAATGAATCGAACAACAACTCACTTCGCGCATACTTTACCAACTGCAATCTTACTTGATTCCGTCACCGTGACCATTGGATGTTTCTGTGGATTGTTCCGATAGAACAGTCCGTATGTAATGAAAACAATCAGCGAGAATGCACCGTGCACATAAAATACAGACTGCCATCCACTATATTCACATAGCGCTCCAGACAGGGGCATTGTCATTACGGGTGAAAGTTGGATGTATGCGACCAAACACGAGACGAACATTCCATTCTGGAATAACAAATCAGTTCACCTAAAATGATGTCAAAAAATTGAGTTTCACAACAACGATACTTACAATTAGCACGGAATTTACATCAATTATTCATATTTTCGTCAATCTATTAGCTAGAACACATCAACTGGAGAACTTTAAAGATATTTGAAATTAGAGAAAGACACTTTGGAATATTCAGAACTTCAGGATCAACTTTTTCGTTGGAACTGATTACATTTGTGATCATACATATCTTCTTCAGAGCAATTACCGATGATTTTACCTGCTTATAGTAAGCCCATCTCGAGCAGAAACTACCGATCACAGGGAAATTAGCTGCAAAGGCGACACCTTGAAAGAAGCGCATCGCTAAGAAATAGTAGAAACCAGCCTGAAATTATTAATCCGCTTTTAATCTGAACATCCTAATATTCTTTAAAGTTACCCTAAAGCACAGCTGAACTAACTTACTTTAATAGCTATAGGTATCAAGCATGTTGACACTCCAGTTAGAATACCAAGCGAAGTCAAAACGGTACGGATACCAAAGTGGTTGACGAGTGCTACCACCGGGAAGTTGGCAATCAACGCAGCGATTGCAACTGTTGAGGTAAGAAGCGACCGTTCATCTGAAATGCCAAAAACGATAGTCGCAAGGAAATGAGATTAAGATTTGATACTTCGATAATGGATTATGCATCAGAAACAGAGTGTATGGAACAATTCATTTGCGCGATACTTCGCTTATATCCACTCGTCTCATAGCAGTAATGTTCTTCAATTGAAATGTTTTGTTTCATGATTGTTGTCAAATCACATATTTTGATAGATCGATGAGAACAACAGTCGGACCAGACCGTCTTAGGTTATATGGTGATATCATGCGTTGTATGGCGTAATTCGTTNCATTAACGGTTCACCAATTAAAAGTTCTTAACAAGAAAGCATCGATATCACTGTGCAATTGATGAACAATGTGATTCTTCATGTTGACACTGAACTGTCTTCATTTAACATATTTGGTACATCAACGCTCAGCTACCAAAGAACGAAAATTACTCAAAATTGATGAACTAAATACAGAAAATTTTGTCAATGTTTTCCTTATTCGTTGATACTGGTGAATAGATCGATGCACTTACAACTGGTGAAAGTGTAATATTCTGTTGAAGTATCGTTCAACGATGTTGATAATTTTGAGTGATTATCGCCGTGCTCATCACTTGACGATGGATCCATACAAATGACGGCGAAATTGAATGAGAGAATGTTTGACCTGGAATTAATTTCAATTCGTCCTTTCACCCATGCATAAGTTTGAATCCCTTTACTAATGATAATATTTTTTATCTCTTTTGTTGTGTGAAACAAATGCAATCCACAAATGATAGACTTTGAAATACGTTAAGTTAAGAGAACACGAACTGGCCCTATACTCGCTTGTCCCCTGCAAAGTGTGCCGAAAATCGGATTCGAACAGTATTGGGGACGTTGTTGGATGCCGGAGTAAGCGCAAGGCTGAGGCCAAGCATTAGCGTGAGCCCAAGTGCTAGTCTAAGCTCAAGCCTAAGCTCACTTCAATCCAGTTCGATCTGGTCAGTTTTCTACACTTTTATGTCAGTTCACGTTCACAAGCGAATCTATCTACGAAACAATCGTACAATATATTGGATCTATGGAAATACTTCAGTCGCTTATTGCAGATATGTGCTCAATCGTTGAACTGCCTCTCTCGGTCGCCTTACAAACAACTTTTGCATACAAGTTGAATTTGTTGAATTAAGCTACGTAATACG